GAAAAAATAAAAAGATGTTAAAATGTACAATATATTAATATAGTTGGACTTTTATATATTTGGTCAAGTATCTATTTTCATAACATACAAAATTAAAATTAAAATTTTGTATGGTTAATATAATCTTTAATCGTGTAATATTTAGATAAATTTATAGAAAAAATTCATATAATTAAGTTGATTTATTCCAAATTGTAATTCATATATATTATAATGCTAAAAATAAAAATAACTAAGAGAATCGTACTTAGAAATCAATAAAAATATAAATTATATATTTTGTATGAATAAATATAAACTCTAATCGGACGCATATCCTTATATGATTGTATAATACATTGTATATACAAATATTGTGGCAATTTTTGTTATTAAGAATTTAAAATTGAAAATAGACAAAAATGAAAAGATGTTAAACTGTACAATATAATAATATAGTTGGACTTTTACATATTTGGTCAAGTATCTATTTTCATAACATACAAAATTTAAATTTTGTATGGTTAATAGAATCTCTAATCATTACATATTTAGATAAATTTATAGAAAAAATTCACATAATTAAATTGATTTATTCCTAATTATATTTCATATATATTATAATTCTAAAAATATGAATAATAACTAACAAAATTATATATACTTAGAAATCAATAAAAAAATTTAAATTTTAAATTTTGAATGAGTAAACTTAAACTCTAATCGGACGTATTTCCTTATATGATTGTATAATACATTGTATATACACATAATATTTATTAATATGTATATAGGAAAATTATATAATATAATTTCATTAATTATAATTTATATTGATAGATTTTATTGAGCGGTTAGCATTATTATGATTGTTAGAATAATTCTATGTTAGTTTCCTATCATTTAGCTATTCTTTGTGTATATAAAGCATGTAACCTTATTCTCTAAAATACACTGAAATAAACACTATTATATGCACTCATCGATTTATAATTAAAAATTACATTTAATTTTTTTTTTTTTAAAAAGTAACATTTAAATTTTGTATTATTATTAGTATAGTGCATAAGTGTATGTATGTATTTATCTAAAAAAAAAGTGTATGTATGTATATTTTTTAAAAATTATAAATATTCATGTTTTGTTAATTTTATAATTTCATTTTCTTAATTATATTTCATATTTTATTAATTATAATTTAATAAAATTGCCATAAATATTTTCACGGAAGAAATTTTATATTCATTATTGAAAGGGGGATATAATTTAAAAAGTAAATTATTAATTAGATTACCTAATATAATTGTCCTACTAATTGATTCTATGGTTGTATAATTTATATATTTAAAGATTTTTTAAAGCTAAATACCTATTAATTGCCATAATAATAATTAAGATTATTTTTAGTCCATCAATATTCAATAGTAGTAAAAGTATTACTTTGATTTTTTATAAATAAGATATAATATTATTAAACCGAAATAATTAAAAATAATGTATCCATAGTACAAAAGATTTTATCATGCTAATTTTTATTGCCTAATAGAATTTGTCAATTATTAAACATTATTTATGGTAATTATGCTAAATTTACAACATCAAATAATATCTCAAAATCAACTTAGTACTTAAAACTGAAATTACTATACAACAATATTTTCCTCAAAATAACAAATAATTAAACTTTATTCCTACTCAACTTGTTCATCCCGAATTCCTATCCATGTTCACCTGTATAAATAATTTTACACAAAAATAGAATGTAGACAAAAATTAGCATAAGTTAAGTAAGTTTCACTTCACCCCGTAAAATAATGATTTGAATTTTTTATATTTTCAAAACTCATATAATTTTATACTTTTCCAAAATACATGTGGATTTATACATTTTCTTGTATGGAGAATAAATAGTTATTTATGGAGAAGTAACCAAATTTTTTGAAATCCACTTTGAAACTGGACTAAAACTGGACTAAAAGATTCCAAGCCACTGGATAATATATGATCCAAGTAGTTTGGTTTTCCTACCTACTACCACTCAAACAATTTGGAAACTGAATCATAACTTATGTGATACACTCTCATGTGATTCCAAGCCCAATGAGTAGTAAATAGTCCAAGTAAACAGTACTCACTCTTACTTGGACACCACACAATATATTATTTTCTCAAAATTTCATTATTTCTCCACAAATAAATACTTTCTCCAACTGGTCCCTCTGTGTGGTTTTCTTCTGTTCCTACTTGTCTCGAACACTTAATTTAATAAAGTTCTAGTTTTCCTTTCAAAAAAAAAAATATATATATATATACTTTCTCCACAAAAATACAATTTTCTCCAGAATATATAATTTTCTCCAAATACATTTTTCAAAAAAAAAAAAGAGAAATACAATTTTCTCCACATGATTTGTCCAAAATATAATTATAGTCCATAATCCAGTATTAATATAATTTCAAAATACTACTATGTATGCAACACCAAAAATTTCAAGCCAAGTATTTACATAACGCACGGGTTCTACAAATCGAAACTCATTCTCGATATTTCGAGAATCACCACTCACAATATTACCATTTATCGATAAATATACTTGTGTTCACATTAATAACATATATCATATAATATCACATATAATATCAATACATATAGTACTCGGGGAAAATAATAATTTTGGTGAATATAAAATCTTACCCTCGAAGACAAACTTTCTATCAACCTTAATAGCATCCTAACCACCTTGATAAGAAACCTGCATGTGAATCAAATAAATCCAATAATAATAATAAGCGAAGCATATTATTCATTGATCATCATCATCAATCTCAACAAACTTAGATTTAAACAAAAGAATTTGGAGAGTAGTAACAATTACCTGAAGTAGAGATTAAGTGAATGAGTTTTGCTAGGATTGAAGAAAACGTAGGAATATATTAAAATCATGAAGAACCAGTAGTGTGAGGGAAGATGAATGAATGTTAAAGTCTAAAAATTTGTATTTATAGGTGAAAATAGTAATTCGAAAGGAAAGTATAATAATTTATTTAAAAAATATAGAAAGTAAAATTAGGTAATAAAATAATAATTATTATTATTAGTATATATAGATATAGATTAAATTAAATATTAATTGTACATAATGTCTATATATATATATATATATATATATATATATATATATATATATATATCACACAGAATATTTACTATATTTAATTATTTAATTATTGTTTTACTACCTAATTTATATATTATTACTATCAATATATACATCTAATATATATAATATCACACGTATATATAAATGACTATATATATAAATTTTTATATCTATAATTATTATTTCCATAAACAAAATATATATGAATTTACATAAATGACCCTAAGTTTTGGGGGGAAAATTGGTTTGGAGGATTTTACTTTTATATATATATATATAGATATAGATTTTCCGATCCGGTGTGCGCATTTCTCATTCCTGTGTGTTTGGTCACTGTTCTATGTTTGTTTACTTTGCTTTGTGTGCTCATTCTTAAGTCGCATTAATTTATTCAATTTTGTTATTGTGCATGTCGTGCTCTGTTAGTGTGTTGTTTTTTTTTTTTCCACCCCCGTGCGTCGAGAGGGGCTGTGTTCGCTTATGGATCTGTGTGCGTTCTTATATTTTCCTCTGTGCGCGCAGTCTACTCGTGTATTTGTTAAATCACTTTTGTTCGTGTGCGTGTCCTTATGCGTTGTGTGCTTGGTTTTTTTTTTTTTTTTTTTTTTTTTTTTTTTTTTTTTTTTTTTTTTTTTTTTTAATTCTATAGTGTACACTCTCTCATGCAGCCATGCGGTGTTTGTGGGCTGATGGTTCGTTGTGCCCGTATATGTTTTGCTCAGCGCGTACTCCCTAATCCCGCTTACGTTAGCTCAATTTTGTTACTGTGCCCGTTCTAATTCGCTTGTTTGTCCGGTGATTAATTTATTTAGTCCTTTCCAGTAAGACTCGCGTGCCCTCGTCATTAGGCAATTCATCTTTATTACTGTTCGCGTCATAGTTCTGAAGTGTGCTCGACTTTTCGGTGCCAACTTGGCTTATGGATGATTGTGCGCATATATATTTCTCTCTGTGCGCGCATTCGTTAATTCAATTTTGTTAGTGTGCGCGTCCTGCTTCCTTTCTGTGCGTTTTTAAAAAAAAAAAAAAAATTAGTCAGGTGCCTCCATGCGTTCCAGTAAGACTCGCCTGCCCTCATGGGTGTTGGCTGGTTGATCTTTGTGCGCATATATATTTTCCTATGTGCGCGTTGCCAACTCTCGCATTAGTCAATTCATCTTTGTTACTGTGCGCGTCGTAGTTCTGGTGGCTTATGGATGTTTGTGCGCATGTAGTTTTCCCTCTGTGCGCGCATTCGTCATTCAATATTGTTAGTGTGCGCGTCCTGCTACCTTTCTGTGCGTTCTTTTTTTTGCTTGTTTTTTTTTTTTTTTAAATAGTCACGTGACTCCATGCGTTGTTTGTTGGCTTATGGGTATTTGTGTGCATATATAGGGCATAAAAAATGATTACTTCATAGAAGTAAGTAAATATGGTTCTTAAATGTGAATGTAAACATAATTATATTATTTCATCCGTTGTTGTATTCAACTTTTGCAATCTTCGTCTTATGCAAGTTTAGCTGGACAGGTGCGGCTGTTGTGCCCTGGTAGATCGCATATATTGCATGTTCTTTCCTTTTTTTTTTGGTTGTTCGTGGCTGCTTTTTCTCGGTTGCTTTTGAGTCTCTTCCCACTCCCTTTGTTCTTTGCAACTTGGGGTGGTTTTATTTGTATGTCGTTCGGCTTGCTTGATCCGACTAGTCTTTCAAACACGGATTCATTGTTGGGACCCTCTTGTGTTTGTTGCCTTTCGTTTTCTAGGTCCTTCTTGAGTTGTTGCAATGCTGCCAACATTTGGTCCATCTTTTCTGGCCAACCATTCACTAATCCCATGCAGTTGTAGAATTCATTCCATAGTTGGTTTGCAACTTTTGTTGTTTCATTTTGCCTTGGGTATTTTTGTTCTTTTTGCCCATGGGACATCGTATATTGGTTGTGCACATGCGTCTCGTGTCCATCGTGGGACGATATACTGTTGGGGGATTTTTTCATACCCTTTTGTCTTCATAACTTGTAGCACATGCTTGCACAGTATACCGACAGGGTTGAATTTCTTGCATGCACACTCAACTTGCTTCGTGCTTGGGATTTCTGTTACTTCAAACATTCTTCCACCAGTTTCTTCCACTTGGTAAGTCCATGTGTCTCCTACGTTATTTTTGTCGGTGATGTGGCAGTTGAAACTGGCATCCCATACCTCTTGTTGGAATTCATAGAATATATTTACGGTGTAAACTCTAGCACCGTGCTTTTCAATACTCAAAGGGGTTTTAGTTTCACGGCACGAACCTCCATTTTCTGCGTTGAGTTTTGATTGTCTATGCCTCTGTTCTCCAATGGCACTATTGTATTGTGCCACAAATTCTACCAAGCTGCAGTGGTGGTTCGTAAATTTACCAAAGTAGTTGTTTTCTGATTCTGACCGTGATGTGGTTCCTAGCAGACCTCCCATTGGTATGTCGTTAAAGTATGCAGGTATCCACGATGCACGTGCCTCGTACAGTTGGGCAAACCACCGGTGTTCTTCAAGATTTTAGTCCTTCATTAGTCTTGTCCATCTCCTCTCAAATTCATCTACTGTTAATGTGTCATCCCATACGGTGTTATTTAGTTCCTTTTTGAAGTCTGCGTTTTGCAACAATGCAACCCCTACCTTCTCCCCAACTTTTGCCATGATGTGCCACATACAGAATCTGTGCCTTGTTGTTGGCATAATGTGTGGTACTACTATTTTTAGTGCTGGATCTTGGTCAGTTGTAGTAAATCTTGGGGTGTATTCCATTGCAGTTTTGAACTTCATGACTAGCCACTCATATGACTCTACATCTTCTTCCGCAATCAATCCTGCCCCAAATGTTATGCACCTTTTGTGGTTATCAACCCCTGTGAAAGGGACGAACACTAACTTGTACCTGCAGTGTAAGCACGATTGTAATTAGTATTAAGCATACTTTTTGTAACCTGCCGACTTGTATACTGCACGCTGGTGCGCTCGGTGGTTTACAACGTTCAGCACGATCATTTCCCCCTCACTGCAGTACACCGCGCACACCATTTATACAACGTGTGCACAGTGGGCGGTCAGAATATTAAAAACCTTAAATGATGTATACCTGTTTGTACTGTATGTGGCGTCGAATGACATGACATCACCGTAATATGCGTAATTCCTTCGACATTCAGCGTCTGCCCAGAATAACCTTGTTAATTGTGCTTCGTCGTCTATGTCGAAATCGAAATAGAAGTCCGGGTTGTCCTCTTTTCTTTTGAACATGTCTTCTATCACCATTTGGGCGTCGGCCTCAGCTATATAGGCCAATAGGTCCCGTCTAAAATTGCAAAAGTCAATGCATGTTGCTCCTACATCTGTAAAACTCCCCACCATCTCTTTGAACAGTCTGAAAGCTTTTGTGGGTCCGATGTTTGCCTTTGCACAGTGAGCCAAGAAGGTTTTGTGGCCGATGTCAAGTTGCCTATTTATCTTTAAAAAAGGTTTGGCCGCATCTGAGCATAAACAATTGGTATGTTTTAGTTGGATTGCATGTACTTTATATCTGCCTTTGTCACTCTTTGTCATTACAATACGTGCCTTACAGCCTATCCTGTTGGACACTCTCCTCCGTCTCTGTTTTACTGTTGAGCTGTTGTTGGGTTCCTTCCGTTCGGCCTTGTAACCCTCGCGTGAGCATAGCATGTATTTTATTGACACTTGTCCAAATCGGTTTCTACGTTTTGTTCCATGTCTAACATCAAACCCGGCTTCCTTGGCATATTCCTCGTAGAATTCAATTCCGTCTTCAACTGTTTCGAATCGTTGTCCTTCGAACGGTGTTTTTTCTTTTGTTGTTGGTGGTGTCCAATATTTTGCTCCATCTTTATGTATTTCCATTTCGCATTCCATTACATGCTCTGCACAGTGGGCGTCACCTATTCAAGATAACAATTATATAGTTCAGTTTTCGTCGATTAATGAATGTTGTGCTTCAGTGTGTAATTGCGTTGCAATTTGGGGTCTATATTATGTGCGCTCTGGGTTTAATACTGTGCTAATTTTTTATTCTTTTTCAAATTCCTTTTTTTTTTTTTTCTTTTTTAGAGGGCTGTTCCCGACTACCCATTTTCGTGCCCTCACATGTGCCAACATATGCACAGTAGCTTCATTGTGTTTTTTTTATATGTGCATGTGACTATCTAACTTTGTGCTTAGTTATCTAATCTCTTCCTCCCTCCCGTGCTCACAGTTTTGTATCGTGTGCTTGTGTAGGGTTTCCCGTAACTGCTATTTGCACTGGGTTTCCCCATTACAGTTTTATATAATTCACACATTAATAGGTTCCTATTCATGAATACATGTATGCTCATACTTTTCAATAAACAAGCACGGTAATGCAACCGTATATATTTGAAACAATTATAGCTTCTTATTCATGGATTCACTTTTGCTCATACTTTTCAATAACTAAGCACGATAATGCAACCCTATATATTTCAAACAGTAATAGCTTCTTATTCATGAATACACTTATGCTCATACTTTTCAAATTCTAAGCACGGGGTGTTCTACATGATCAATAATCGTATTTCGATGCTTACCTGGGAATGCTGTGCCCGTGTTCTCCATGGCTGTCTCCTTCAAATGGCGCCGGTTTCTCTTCTCTGCACGGTGGTTTGTGTTTTGGTGGTTTTTGGTGTCGGACTGAGAGTGCTCTATTTGAAGGAGGATATGTAATTATACTATAATTAAACTCCTTTAATTTAGGCTGACTAGTTAAATCGTGTTTTCTCCTTAATTAGGATTTAATCATTTTGTCTGATTTGCCCTTTTCGCATGGTATGTTAGGCTGGCGTCAATTATTCCATATTACATCTAATCCATTAATCTCATCTAATCTAATGGCTCATATTTGTTCACAGGTTTGTATTTTAATGGTGTTTGCATGTGAATGCAACCCTATATATATATATATATATATATATATATATATATATATATATATATATATATATATATATATATATATATATATATATATATATATATATATATATATATATAGGCCAGGCCTGTAGGCCTAAAGGCCGAGCCTGTTATATATAGGCCTGACCTGTTTAGTTTAATAAGCTTTGAAATTGGCTCAAGTCTGACCTTTTTACTAAACGAGCTAAGGCCTAACTAGGCTTTAATTAGGCCAGGACATAGGCCCCTACAAGGGGCCTGCCCTATTCCCACCCCTACCGAGGGATGGTGTTTAGTACGAGTCGAGCGAAACACTCTTTCCTTAAAACCTTATTTGCTACCTCCCACAAGTGCTAGGAGCATTGTAGCCTAGGTTTCCCAGTATAAAACGTAAACAGAGAACCCAACGAACTAGAGCAAAGCTTAGAACATAGTAGCAAGAAAGGAGTAGAAGCAGAAATTTTGAGAATGAAAAACGAGCAGCAGTTCAATTCGACCTCCATAGCCTGCCTTTTCAGGCTTGCGAGAGAAAGCCTCTATGCTATACAATTCAATAAGCCTTAGAATAGCTCTTGTATAAATGGTGGTGCAAACCCACTTCCCAAACCAATGTGTGACAAAAGCTTCTTTTTTTCCCTTCATGTTTCCAACTCAAATGGGTCTACTGTGATAATCAATATCTTATTCACCTATTATCCGTTTTGAGCGTACAATATATCAATCTCTTCGTCTCACTACGAATAACCCGAATCCCCTTTGACCCAACCCAAATTCGGAGTGGACCCCACTAATAATTGTACCACAAAACAACCACTTATTATGTCATTTTATGTCATTATAAGCTATTTTTTCCAACATTAAGCTCCTTAGTGACTTTCCTTGCAATGTTATATTTTGTAGGTTCTTTAGGTATGGCCTATGCTTGTAAATCTCTATGTGTTGTAAGTTGGAGTTTTTCGCACTTTTGGTCCCACGCAAGGACGGAGCTAAAGGGGGGGGCAGAGGGGGGGAGGGGGGGGGGGACTGGCCCCCCTCACCCCACCCCTACCCCATATATAACCTTTGTATGTATGTTGTATATATAGTACAAATTTTAGTATTAGTATAAAAAACATATGAATGTTAACAAGAAATTAGTTAGATTAGTTGGCAAAGCATGTGTTTAGTTATAATGAAGGTTATGGGTTTAAATGTTGATGTTAACACATTTTCATAATTTTTTGGCTTCAACACAATCAAGTTTTTTTTTTTTTTTTTTTTTTTTTTTTTTTTTTTTTTTAATACACACACACACATATATAACATAACATTCTTTATATTAATAATAAGATGTGTAATTTATAATGTGTTTTTATTCAAATTATTTTATCAAATTAATTATGTTTCATATTTTGTTTGAGTATTTTTATAAAGTTTCGATGAGTTTTATTTTTTGTTCATATCCAACAATATTTATACTTATATTTCTTAAATATTTTTTTTTTCAAATTATTTCTTTTGATTTAACGTTTCGCCTTCACTAGAAGAAATTTATGGATCAGTCCCTGCTTCTTCGCCCCCCTCAACGGAATTCCTGGCTCCGTCCTTGATCCCACGACTATAGTGGCACTATTAGGATTGATCCACGACTTTCAAATCCAACAATCTCGGTACACGACTATTATTATTATTATTATTATTATTATTATTTTGCAAAAATGGTCCTTTCGGCCCATTTTCCGTCGATTTCTTACCGGAGTAAGAACCTTTTTCGTAAAAAAAAAAAGGGACCGAAAAATGGGTCGAAAGGACCATTTTTGCAAAAAAGCAATATCTTAGACAACACATTAGAGCCACAAACTACAAGATAGAGATAATAATATCTTAACAAACACATTAGGGCCACAAATTACAATATAGACAGAGATAATATCTTAGCAAACGCATTAGAGCCACAAAGTACAATATAGAGATAATATCTTAGGCTCTTAGCAAACGCATTAGAGCCACAAATTACAAGATAGATAGAGATAATATCTTATTTAACGCATTAGAGCCACAAGATAGAGATATTATCTTAGCAAACGCATTAGAGCCACAAACTACAAGATAAATAGAGATAATATCTTGGCTCGGTTACTTGTGAAATTCTAAGACGGCAAGGAAGAAATCCATGTAGTACGCCTTGAAAGTGCGAAACCCGACCGACAGGCCAAGCTGCCGGTACGCTTCCTCGGTCCAGTGTTTTCTCTTGGCCCTATACATATTCATGATAAAGATGTCTGATCCAAGGAGAAATCGTGTTCTTTGAGTGTCGTCAGTTTGGATGGGCAAAACTGGCTCGCAAACAATCAACTTTCCTCCCTGTGAAAGTGCAGCATAGCAGTTGTTCATGATCGCCTTGCACTCTTCATCCGACCATGCCGTTAACACCGACTGCATAACCACTCGAAACACCACAAAATCTATGATTATATGCTTCCATTCACATTTATATTATATTGTACTATCCGCATATTGATGTATGAAACCCTTATATAAAATTATTGGGGCGTTTAATTTGGTCCAAGTAAGGCACCTAGCTAGCTAATAGATAAAGGTTAGAGTAAATACCAGTGGACATCCTCTGACTCTGGTGGCACTGTCACTTTTAGTTCTCACTTTTTAAATCAACCACTTCCTTTCCTCCTACTTTTTGTTTCTAACCATATATGGTCCTTCCGTTACACTTCCATCTAATGCCTTTTTCTCAAGGGCAATGAGGTCCTTTCATAATTAATGTATTAAGTGTTTTTTTGAAGCAATTACGCGCCTTTAATTCATTAAAATGATTAATTTTCAGCTAATTTTAATTTCAAGAACAGATTGAATTGCCCTTGAGAAATGACATTAGATGGCCAAGTATAACGGAAGGATCATAGATGATTAGAAACAAAGAAGGACTGAAAGTATTTGATTTAAAAGGTGAAGATTAAAAATGACTGTGTCACTAAAGTTGGAGGATGTCCACTGCTATTACTCTAAATGTTATGTACCTTCATGAAAATGGCATCACAATTAGGTATGGCGGATGTGAACACGTCACCACCAACGTGGGTTACACCTGCATAAACCCAACCCAATCATTAAAGGAAATACGATAATATTATTCACTCTTAAATTTATCTCATAATTATAGTTATATTTTCATAATAATTATAGTTATTGGTGATGGGTAGATGAATGAATCATTTCACCACATTTCTCCGGGATAAGTTACTAATTGTAATCGTGACGGAGTAGTGGGGCTGAAATCTAACTCTTTTACTAGAAGTTAAACTTGAAGCCTTAATTAACTTGATTAGAGTTGTCCATAACTATCATATTATTTTCACTATTAATTGTAGAAGTTGATATTTAACCTGAGTTAGTGTCTCAACTATTGTATTGCAAGGTCGGCCCTGAAGGCGGGCAAGATGGGCACCCGTCCTAGGCCCAACATTGAGAGGAGGCCCCTACTTGATTTTTTAATTTTTTGATGAAGTTAAAAAAATGCTTGCATATACAAAGATTTGAATCATGACTTCAAATTTATTTATTAATTTTAAATCTATTTAACAATTACAATCATTTGATATACTTATCTCGATTAATAGATATATATTAGCGAACGTTGAATTAATTACACTTCAAATAGGGATCCAAAGTTTGAATGAGCTCTGCTCTAAGCAATCATTATTGTGTGATCCATAGAGTTGTGTGGACCATATTATCAAATAATCTATATTCAGTGCACAAATATTGTTCTCTTAGTATGTTAAAAATGTACATTATATTTAGGAAAAATACATTATGTGAATACTAAAAGTATATTATTTTGTATAATGTACATTCACTACACAAAAAAATGTACTTTTTGTTATGGTCGATATAGCACTGTGTGGACCATGGTCCACACAATAATTTGATTACTCCAAGGCTATTCTAAAATGTTTTTTTATTAAAAAAAATATATTTATAAAAATTCAAAATTATCATTTAATTATTTTCAATTAACTCATATAATCTTTTAACTTCGTATATTAAGGGCCCTTGTTTTTATTTTATCCCGAGCTTATAAAATGATAAGACCGACCCTGTTGTATTGTACCTAAAAGAATAGAGATGATAATAATAAAAATTAATACTCCAATAGATTTGAAGTCATCAAAACATAGATTAGATTACCAGGAATGTTGGGAGCCAACTGAACAACCTCAGGAAAATCGAAGTTAATTGCTTGTGTAATACTAGGATGCTTCTCCACGATCATTCTGAGGCAATCTCCGGCGCTCCCTCCCACATCCACCAATCGCGTTACACCTTTGAACCCTTGGTAGCTGTCCAAGAACGCCTTCATGAACGGAACAGAAATTCCGGACATGGCCTTCTGCATTAGACTGTTCATCTCCGGATTCTTCCCATAGTAACTGTACGGCGCCTCGCCGTTGACTTTCACAAACGGCTCTATCGAGGAATCCACCACCGCCTCGTGCACCAGCGGCCACGCCTTCATCATCGCAGCCTGGTGGTGCTGCAGCACATACGCTCCGTATGATAACCCGTCCTTGTCAGTCACTAGAGTTTTGCCCACCTCATCCACCGAATACCTACCAAAATTCAACAAATTAATCATTTATATATCACGGCTGGAAATTATGAAATTTTCGACCACCTGAAAGTAATTTTAAATCAAGTCGATAGCAAAAAGTGGTCGGAAACAGCAATGAAGGTGCAAAAAGTAGTCGGAAACAGCAACAAAGGTTTTTTCTGGATACCAAAAGTGATCGGGACTTTCGGACTTGATTTAAGATCACTTTTAGGTGATCCAAAATTTCATAATTTTCAGCCGGTGTATGTGTCCTAGCTACTCTCTTTATTTTTTGATGTACCAAAACCACCTTCATACAGTGACTAGTCTTTGACTGAATTGTGAACACCTCTAAAGAGCTCACCTAAAAATTTAAGATTGTTCTCATAAATCAAGAATTGAACCATTAACATTTGGTTAAGAATTGAGGTGTGTTTTTTCACTCAACCACACCTCTTAAATTAAAGTGGAGAAGATATGGTTTGATCCCGATAAATACTATATTATTATATTCCTTTTCAAATAAAAGATCGAGAAAACAAACGAGATTTTTTTTTTTTTAGATAAAAGAAAATCAATGATAAGATGCTCAATACTGTTACCTTCTCTCTGACGCATCAGCATTTATATGTTCGCGGAAGATGCCGTAGCTGGTGAGCATGCGGAGGAGGCGCTCGAGGTTCGGGGCGTCCCCGCCGCCGGAAGGGAGGACGGAGGATAGTATCTCGGAGGCGGAGAGCGGCGCGTTGGATCCACCTTGCCAAATGGCATCGGCGACGTTCAGTCGAATGACGGCACACAAGGACATGGGTACGCTAATCATGTTGGCTAGCTCCATTATCCTTAATCTTGCACCGTTATCTGATTCACTCCCCATTGCTCCGATCTCCTTTAATTTCCCTGTAATTTGTTTCTGTATTCTTGACTCTGTTGAGCACTTGAGGGTAACATTAGTATTTATAGCATGAATTCACAGGTTATGTGCCTCTTGACCCTTCTAATCGGGCACTGGATCAAGAGAAACTCGTTAACTACGTCTTTTACGAGCAGGACGTACAAAAGAAATAGTTCTAAACAGGTATGATGGAATTGATGTCCCTACCAAAACAAAAAAAGAAAAAAAAATAGAGTTAATTACCGATTTGGTCCTCTGACTATTGCGAAACTACTGATTTGGTCCTCAACTATATTCCTTATCAAATTAAGTCCTCAACTTTTCAATTTTTACTCGATTACATCCTCCGTCCAATTGACTGTGCTGTCTCCGTCAAAACTAAGGATAAACATGTAACTACACACACCTTCTTCTAAACTACCCGTCTGGTCAGCCTCTAGGTAAACGCGATGTGTCGCTCCGCTCTACTGGATGAACTTGTCCACAAATATCTCATCCGACAACATCGCCACCATCAGGTGATGTGTCTGGGTGGACACCAGCCCGAAACTCGACATCTAACATCAAACAACTAAGCTAGAATCTAATCTAGAAACTACCACCTCATAACTACGCACTATACTATCTCGTACGCTCTCAAACACTGGGCCATAAAAACAAGTAGGAAAATAAACCCGTTAGCAAATTAATGCTAAGTATAAAGCCGCTCAACCATGTAAAGTACTATAGATATAGATTTGAAAAATATTTGGCATTACACATAATCTCAAGTACTTACAACACTTAAACAATAATCTCAATACATACTCAATCATTTCTATATGCTTGCAACCTATACATCATATAAACATGCTTTTCTCAAATACTCAACTTAACACAATTCTCATGCTTTAAATAGATATCTTTAAACATAGCTCAATACGCAAACTCATGCTCAAACTGATAGATAAAGAGATACTTAAAACTCAATAAGTAAAATCATACTATCATGCCGACTCATAAGCAACAACAAAGTACTGTACTTCTCATCATACTCTAAATTCAAATCATGCATGTCATGTAACAAGATATGTCATGATGTTATATATATATATATATATATATATATATATATATATATATATATATATATATATATATATATATATATATATATATATATATTCTCGTTCTTATGTAAAAAAAATACATTTTTTGTGGAGGTTTCTATTGAGTCTCTTGACTCACTTTACTCTTCTTTCTTTCTTTCTTTCTTTCTTTCTTACTTTCTATTGAGTCACTTGACTCGCTTTTCTCTTATTTCTTACTTGCTTTCTTACTTTCTGTTGAGTAACTTGACTCTCTTTTCTCTTCTTTCTCACTTGCTTTCTTTCTTCTTTCTCAATCCTTCTCATGATTCTCTTTTCTCTTCTTTGTGCGAGGCAGGTACTCCGCCGTAGCGAAGCCTAGCGAATGGTGCAACTCTTGCAGCCACCACATCGGTATCAACAGAACCTCTATCTCGTGGGGGAGGTAGGACCTTCACGAATCGTGAATGGACCTATACGGGCTCGACAATCCAGTCGGCTTAGTACTCAACTTTCCCACATAACCGGTACTGGTGGTTCTTAATCTTTCTTTCTTTCTTTCTCTGTAGAATCAGATATTATTTAACCATTAGTATTTTCCTGCCAAATTTGGCAGGAGTGACCAAAATTGATGAGAATTGCGTAGTCAAGGTACTAAATTGACACTTTTAAAAGTCAGGTGTTGAAATTAACAAAGCCCCTATAGTCATGTGACCAAAATTGAAACTTTCTCTTATTGGAATATTTGCATTGTTCCATTGTTTGAAATTGTGAATATTTATGATATAATTGTGATTTGATTTATTCTACTGTGTAATATTATTTTGAAATATTCAAAATGCAATAACTAGACTATTTCCTTTTCCATTTTAGTCAATTATGGATTATTATATATTTTTAGTCAATTATTAATATTCATTTCCTTTTACAATTAACTTAATTTCGATTCCTTTTTTCATTTTTAATTTTTAGTCAATTAATAATATTCATTTCATTTTCCAATTGACATAATTCTCATTTCATTTTTAATCGATGATGTAGAATATTATTGTGACATATTTATATTTCTTTTTTTTAGTGTACGTTCCATTTTTAGTTTACTTTTACTATTTGCTATTGTTTGGACGGAAAATTAAGTAAATATGATTATTTTGTTTTTAATTTTAGTATAGATAGATTATTATTATTATTATTATTATTATTATTATTATTATTATTATTATTATTATTATTATTATTATTATTATTATTATTATTATTATTATTATTATTATTATTATTATTATTATTCAGTAACGATGTCCGATCAAAGTTGATTCCACATTAATTAGTTACGTTTTTTTTTTAATTTTATTTTATATGATATTTTGCTTTGTATTATTATTATTATTATTATTATTATTATTATTATTATTATTATTATTATTATTATTCATTTTTTATTATTTTTATTGTTATTATTATTAGTATTATTACGATAAATTTTATTTTATAATTGCATAACAACAACAACAACAACAACAATAACAACAACAACAACAACAATAATAATAATAATAATAATAATAATAATAATAATATTGTTGGAATGCACAGATTATAAAATTTCAAATCGCCAAAACTACAATATTGTTGAATTTTTTTGTTTCTTGTATTTGTAGTGCGAGATTTTTTTGTGCGTTCAAAGAGTTAAGCTGGAGTATTTGTAGTGCCAGATAAAATATATTTACGCATCGAGTATTTGTAGTGCCATATAGAATATATTGTCCTATTGTATTACAAATAGGAATTTTAATGTAGAATTATAGTTGAATTGGAAAGTAGGAAACAATATATTCTATTATGAATTATATTACACTATTTTATAATATTATAATATGAATTTTTTCCCGCACGACTTTAGCTCAATGGTTCAGTGAGCAGTATTTGGGAGAAGAGATCAAGGTTTGAACCTCAGCAGTGGCAATAATAATATTGACTCTCAGTGTCAACATTGTTGACTCTTTGTGTTTTAAGGTTGAGAAAGTATCTTTGAACAGAGCCAGTAGCCATTAAAAATAATAATATTATTATGAATGTCCTTATATATCTTTTTGCATTTAACCGCTAACCCGAGACAAAATGCCAAAAAAGTCATTTGGTTCTTCAACAGTTTGGAGCAACAATTTGAGGTTGGACCAGCTGGAGGCCAGTTCGTAGCCGAAGAGGAGATGATGAAGAGTCAGATGAAGACACCAAGGAGTCGGAGAGCGAGTCGTTCTAGTGCGGAGTGTGGTAATCTCGTCTTCCTTCCTTCGCTTGTTGTTACCTTTTTGTTGTTGTTGCCGCTTGCTAGTGGTTTTGTTGTTACCTTGTGTGACCTTTTTGTTTGCTAGTTATGATGAGTAGTTAGCTTTGTGGGTTGTTTTACTAGGAGCTAGTTGTTTAGAACGTTGGTATTGGTTAGAAAGTTAGTTGTTGTGTTTGGCCTTAGTGTTTGTTATGCTCAAGAAATCCGTTAGTTATATCTTTCAACCTTGCAATGCCATGACATCTTGATCATTTGGTATCTCTTGAATCCTTAAAGTTTTGATCAAAAGATATTCTTGACTCTCTTGTCACATTGTTGTTTCATGTTGCCGTTTTGTTTGAATTCGTCGTACCCAAGCTTCGGGGACGAAGCTTCTTTTAAGGGGGAGAGGATGTGACACCCCGTAAATCCAAATTCTATTTAGGGATTAATTAGATAATTAATCCTAGCTTAATTGATAATTTATTCTTAAAATCCTGAAAATTCAATAGTCGGAGGACTAGAAATTGACTAGTCAATCCAAGTCAAAGAGTTGTACTCTAGGCTTAAGAATTGTTCCCTTGTATCCTTACATTTCCCACTTTAGTAAGGGTAAAGAAGACTTTTCACCTTATGTTTGTGGCACAAGCTAACCTAGAGTCATACTTCATTTCATTTCCCTTACACCCTTAACACAAAGCTCCTCCTTCTCTCTAGAAAATTGTTACCTTCTTCTTCAAGCCAAGTTTGGGCAATCCAAGATTCTTCAAGTTGGTCTCCAAGATTCAAACTTTCTTAACTTTGAGCATAAGGGAGGGTAAGATCCATGGTTCCTTAGTGTTTTTAATACCTTTTTAGGTGTCTTTTCTAAAAGATAGAATCTTTGTTGTCTTTTGGTGTGTTCTTAAAGTTGAAGTTGAAGGAGAGCTTTAGGAGAAGCTTTAAGGGTGTGAAAAGTGAAGGTTTAGGCTACAAGAGGTAACCCATGCTTTACAAAATCTATTTTCTTACCTATATGATGATTTCTTGACTTCTACTTGTGATTTTTGCTATGAAATGTGAGATTTGATGCATTGTCTTGTGAGAATGCATACCTAGAGCTTGTTATTAGGGTTCTTATATGCCATTGCTTGGCTATTTCCTTGGTTCAAGTCATGTTGTTGTATTTTGTGATATTTTGGACTTCAATTTGGACTTGGTGTTGAAAATCCCCGAAGGGATTATTTTTGGTATAGCAGTGTACCCGTGGGCGGAACGGCGGGTAGTGCACCACCCGCTGCCCCACCCACGGGGTACAAGTGGGGTGTGGCTTCGTACCCGCGGGCGGAACCACGGGTGGAGGTCTACCCGTGGCCCCACCCGCGGGGAACACATTTTGGGGTTATTTTGGGGATTCGTTCCCCGCGATTCTTTTGACTCGGTAATTGATGTTTTGACTTCCTGATGTTGTTTTGTTGGGCTATTTGAGTGTCTTCTTGATGTTTCGTATGTCTAGAACGGTATGTTAGGAATCCATACAGGATTTGGTGTCTTGAATCGTGCTAAGTGTTCAACTTTGTGATTCGCTGAACCATGATGAGTCTTGTATGTTCTATGGAACTATGTTTGCTTTACCCATTTGATAAGTATGCTAGTTTGATGTTGAAATGCTAGCGTGTGTGGTTTGTTCTCTCCTATTGTGGATGACAACTTGTGCTGATCATCGTTGATGTCGGATTGTGATCCTTCCTTGTTGAGTATGGTTTCATAT